CTGTGAGACTTCCTTTGAACAGCAGCTATCAGCTAACACTAGCAATGAAAACCTAAAGAAATTCAACTGGGATACCACAGTCTGCCAAATTTTTACTGTTAATCCACTACCATTTGAACCTTCTAGACATAGTAAGGATCAGTCATCAAGCAACCACATGGGGTTCTTTTACACAGGTCAAGAAAGATTCCAACTCACCTGTGTGGGAACTTCAGGACAAAGTCAGTCAGCTGCATGCACTTGAAGGGCATGGCCTGCCTTCTGACACCACTGCAGGGGCCATCCACCAGTGCCTGAAAAAGGGAAACAAATGTGGGGGGTTTGCAGCAGTTTTCCCATTGCATTTGATTTGGACAGCTGCTTCCTAATAATGTATGAACAGTATCTTGACAACACTGATCCCAAACTTAATTATGCAGATGAAAATGGAGATTATTAAGTCTTGCCTGTACAACCCAAAGCTTTACAAAAAGAATTTTAAAGGCCTACCTTTGACAAAAAAGCCAAACTGAATTAAAAAAAAAAAAAGGCACACAAAACTAAGATGTGCACAGGAAGAGTCCCCTAGCCCAAATATTCACTCTACACACACATTAATGCTATTCTATTCATATGCTTTAGACTCCAACTGACATCCCTTGTCCACTTCTACAGCAAGGAAACACAGCAGCGAGGGGAATGTAACACCTGCTGGCAGGAAAGTGTGCTCCTAAAGGTTTCAAATACAACAGCTGTTAAGTCCTATCCTTTTATCAATTACTTATTTGAAAACAAAATTTCTACTGAAGTAAATACACACAACATTAGCATACAAGCTTCCATTAAGGCAGAAAGGAGGCAACACAGGCACAGCACTCACAACTTACCCTATTTTGGTCAATAACATCCACGATGGCCACCAGTTTGCCAGCATGTGGCCCGAAGGAGATGAAGGCAACTCTGCCGATCTCCACGAAGCGCTTGAACACCTGGGAGAGCAAGCAGGAATGGAGAGAGAGTTAGGCGAGAACAGACCCAAGGCGATTTTCAGTTTCAAGGTTCTGGAGACCCTTTAAAAGAGCTCCCCGGAAAAAATCAAAGAATGGTTTGGGTTGGACAGAGACCTTAAAGATCACCTAGTCCCAGCCGTCCTGCCACGGGCAGGGACATTTTCCACTTCACCGGGTTGCTCAGAGCTCCATCCAACCAGGTCTTTAACACTTCCAGGGATGAGGCATCCACAATTTCTCTGGACAACCTGTTCCAGTACTTCAACACCCCCACAATAATTTTTTTTCCCCTAGTATCTAATCTAAACCTACTCTCTTACGGTGTGAAGCTATTTCCCCCTGTCCCGTCACCACATGCTCCTGTAAATACTCCTACCCCATCCTTCCTCTTAAGTTCCCTTCAGCTCCCGGAAAGCTTTCGAACAGCACGAAACCCCTAGGCTTCAGCAAGGGGGCCACGGTCCCGCCGCGCTCCGAGCCCGAACACGCGGAGCGCGGCCCCGGCCTAGCGCGGGTGAGGCGGGCGCGGGCTCCCCGCCGCCGCCGCCGCTGCGGGTGCCGGCGCAGGAAGGCGCGGGCGGGAGCGCTGGGGCGGCAGAGGGGATGTGGCGGGAGCGCGGCGGGATGCGGCGGGACGCGGCGGGCCCGGCGGAGCGGGGCATGGCAGCACGTACCATGATGGCGGCGGCAGCAGAGAGAGGGCGGGACGGCCTCCCCGGCGCCCGGAAGCCGGCTCGGCGCCTCCGCTGCGCGTGCGCGTGCGCGGGGCGGGGCGGCCGTACAAACGCGCGCCGTGGCCGTGGCTCCGGCGCGCGCGTGCGCTGTGGCGTCCTGGCGCGGGTGTTCCCGTCTCTTCCCGGCCCTGTCGGTGTGGCCCGCGGTCGGACTCCGCTGCGGCAGGAGCTATTGTCCAGAAGAATCAATTCTTGTCCAACCACCTGAAGGTCCCACCCTCCTCCATAGGCACTGCTCTAAACTGTCTGTCCTGGTCACCCCAGAACACTGTTCCTCTCTGGGGCAGCGCCCACCATGAGCCCACCCTGTACTGCGAAGTGTGGGATACACCGAGATTGCCTCGAGTCAGAATGTTCTTTCGTGTAACAGGCTGTCACTTCGTGCCGCTTGCGGCTGGTAAGGATAACACAGCGGCTTGTATGGGGCTGCGTTTTGGATTTGTGCTGAACACAGAGTTGATAATACAGAGATGTGTTTTTTATTGCTGAGCAGGGCTTGCGCAGAGCCAAGGCCTTTTCTGCTTTCCATACTGCCACACTGGCAAGGGATTTGGGATTGCATGGGAGGTTGAGAGGAGACACAGCTGGGACAGGTGACCACACTGACCAAAGGGAAATTCCAGACCTTATGAAATCACACTCAGTTTGTACAGTGGGGGAAGAAGGAGGAAGAGGGGGACACTTGGAGTGATGGTGTTTGTATTCCCAAGTCACCATCACGTATGATCTGTCCTGTCCACTAAAGAACCTGGGTCAGTTTTGCAGCTTGCAAATTTCCACCCTCTAAAACAGCATTTCAGTGATTTCTTACCCTTCTATTAACAATAGCATTTCTACCAGCATGGAAATACTGGTAGAGGAGGGGAAAAACATGCTAAAAATAAAACGTACACTTGGCTTAACTTTTCACAATTTTATTAATCTTAATAAGCAGGCACTGAAGAGTATAAAAAGATAAATAACCTCTGGTTTGTACACATTCCCAAGTGTTGTCAACTTCCCTGTCTCCCCCAGAGATCCATTTGGTTCTAGACAGCAGGACAGGGATGTGGCCTGTTGATCTGGTTGCGGCTCACACTTGGGGGAGGAGTTAGCTGTGGTCACTGAAGCTGCGTGGCTCGAAGTTCAACACCCTCAACTTTCCCATCTGAAACTTCTAGGAGAGGTACGATGGAGCAGGTGGTCGTATCCCAGTCACACTGAGGGAGACTATATACATAAGGACAAGAGGGAACTACTAAAAAAGCAAAACAGGCGATTCACAGGGGTAATTTGATTCTTTGAACAGATACTGGCCTAAGTACGTCTGGAAGTCCAAATGGTTTTTGAAATAATTTACTTGTTCTTTAGCTGCCAGCTCTACAGAGACTAACTTCTGAGTGTGTTCCATTTGTGTAAAACCACATCTGAATGGGCCTGCCACTCACAAAGCAAATGTTTTGTAGGGCTAGTAAATATTCCAGAATAGTATTTTCCACAGAAAACATTTTAATGCTCTCATCCAACAGTATGGGTTTTTTTTCACCCATAACTGCAGTTACAGATCCATCACAGAAAATATCTCCTGCCCGTAATGTCCATGCACTCTGAAGTAAATTTTATCAGATACTTTATCAGATACAACTTTGACACCACAGAGCTCTTCATCATCTTATAATACCTTGTATCTTATTGCTACTCCAGTAAGACTGACAAGACTTAGCAATATATCAGCTGAAGAAGAAGGGACAAAGAAGAGAAGGGACTGAAGAAGAGAAGGGACAAAGCCCTATTGATCTGCTTGAAAAATCACTTTTTTCTTTTTTTCATTTAAAAAGATATTAAGCTCCCTTCAAATCATCTGTCAGTCTGTGAAAAAACAAAAAAGAAAACAAAACCCCAACCACAGAAAGAAACATAAGTAAGAAGGTGATGTAGAAACAAAAGAATGAAATTAAAAACGTTGCTTATGGGTAAAAATACTGGCAACTTGTCTCCTATCTATCCCCTAATCAGTACTGGGAATAGATGAAGCTGAAATAGTCCCATGATTTAAGGGAGTGTGAGGTTTGGTGAAGAATGCCTGGGCTTTCAAGGGAGCCAGCTGATGGCTGCATGAAGGCAGCAGCCCTTGTAGGAAAGCTCTGGATTCAGTATGTTTGACAGAAGCATCTTCCAGGTGGATCCCAGTGCTGCTGAAGGACAGTGTAAAGGCTGAGCAAGGCACTATAGCCATGACTGCAGCTCCAGCAATACTTTCCTGAACCCACAGAGAAAAGGTGTTTTGCTGGCCTGGAGACTGGCTCCTGTTCCTCTTGGCCTTGAAAGAAGGGTTTAACACGTTAATGGAATGTTCAGATCTGAGACTCTATCCAGACAGCTGAAATAATACATATGTGTCAAATCAGTACGGACTGCCACTGTCTGAGATCAACAATATGTGGGGTATACAGGTCAGGGTTTCAGTGTAAGGACCTACAGAAAGCATTTCTGTGAAAGTCAGAAAAGGACACTGAAAACTCCAGTGTCTTATGGAGGCAACTCTGAGATATTTAAATTTAGGTTCAGTTACTAAAGTGTGAAAGCATTTTGTTCCACTTCCAAAGCAAAACTTATGTACCAGACCCGAGGCATTTTGGGGACTCCATGGTACCAAAAGATATAATAGCTGTTTAAGACAGGCTCAAAAGTCGTGAGAGGTGTTGACAGTTTATTACACCTTTTTGTGATGGGGATCAATCCATTTGGAGCAGCAATAAAAACAATTCTACCACAGCCCTTCCTTTCAGTTCTTGTCATTATCCAGTGCTTGTTCCAGTTTCAGAAATTAGATTACTTCAGTAATCTAATTTTAGTGTCAGCACTGCACCAAGGACAGCTACCATGTTCCCACCTCCCACAGCTGCTACTGTCTTGTTTCATTTTATCTTGAACAACTGCCACTGTGATCAAATCCACCACTGCTTGAGCTCACCAGTTAGCACAGAGTTAATGAACAAAAAAAATAACACATACCTGGCAGGAAAAGGCAAGTAATCCCTTATAAAGCAAAGTGACGTGTCTGCCCATGTTTTCTCTGCTGCACACTGGACAAATGAGGTTTACAGAAACAATTACCAAAATTACCAAAAGCACTCCAATTCACCATATCACAGATTCCTTTGTGCCTCTTCTCTATTGATGCTGATATTCTGGTTCAGAAGTCATTTTTGCTGTCTATTTTTGAAAAATGGGGGGGGTGTGCAAAATAAAATTCTGCTTAATAGCACTATAAAATTTTTGTTTTTTCTTCAGCAAAGTTCATTCATTCTGCAATAAATACGTGTTCAACGTGAGGGATGTTCTTCCGGTGATGCGATACAATGCACAAGTAGACGAGGAAGAGGAGACACAACAGTGCTGTGGCTGTGAGGAAGACGAGGAGCCCAGCAAACAGAGAAGGTTTCAGAGGTAACTGGATCAGCTTGCCTTCTGCTGGAATCATGTTTGTGAGGCTTAACATGTAACCGAGTGACCACGCTATACTGCTGTTACCAACCTGAAATAAAGACAGAAGAGTCCTAGTCCCATGGGATTTTCAAAGAGAATAGACTCCAAAAGCTCAACTGCTGTTGATGGCAACTGTCCTTTAAATTAGCAAGGAGAAATCTTTAATGGAATATACAAAGAAGACACAGAACCATTTTATATTATCCTTTTTCTGTAGTTCCAGAGAATGGTAATAAAATTGGTCGCTGGGCTAAAGAAGTGAGACACAAGTATTGGATGGGTACAAAGATGTGTGGTCTATATGCAGACAGCCAGTTATGCAATTTTCTGTGCAAGAAACACATTTTAAACAAACAAATAAAAAAACCCATGACTACTATGCCAATTCCTAAAATTAGCCCCTCACCATAGCCAAATCCCAGGATGTCATTTGAGTTCAAGAAAACAAAGAAAACCCACAAGGAGTCTCAGCAACATGGCCAAAGAGGAAGCCAGGATAAAGTCCCCAAAGCAGGAACTCTATTATCTTTTGTTCCATGTTGGTTTTGTGCCTACAAACAAACCAAAACTAGGCTCTTCCATTTAAAAAATAAACATAAATAGAAAACTACTTCAAAATGGATGAAACAAATAAAAATAAAAAATGGAGTATGTTTGTATTTGCTCCATGGTCCTCCTGTTTTGCCATCTTTCCGTACTTCTGGTTTGAGCAATAGAGTTTACCAGCTTTCTACTGTCCTTTTCATTAAGTCATTGTCCTGGCACTTGATAAGCACAGGATCAAAAGGTAAACTGTCCTTTGTCTTCCTCTCATCATGAGGTTTAAAACTTTTAATTTTTTGTAAATCATTTAGCTCTGGATCTTGCCCAGATCTTAGCATTAGGCCAAGGTTCTTTTCACTGGCTGTGTTCACTAATTAAAAGGAAATACATACTCCTAGCATAGACAAAAAGCCCACTGTCCAGTCGTAGTGAGATTGTGCTGTTATCTCTGGGGCAGCTTAGCTGATCAGCCAACATTAGACCTTACCATTTTAGTAGGGGCAGATCTAATTAAGAGAATGTAGTTCTGCATTTTGGAGTTTCATGATTACCCTTGTGTAAAACCTAGGCAACAAAGGTATTAATTTTAAATTAGCCTTTTGGGGTTTTGTTTTGTTCAGTATTTTTATAGTCTTGGCTAAAAACAAGAAAATGTTGCTGTTTCTCGCTGCTCCTATCTGCTGGAGATGATACAAGATATATTTAAATATCAAGACAGATCCACACTCCATCAAGACAAATGCACGCCCCTGCCCAGCGGAGATTAAGATCTCAAAGTAAACTCTGTGCTGTTTTCCTGGTGGAACAGCTAAACTTTGAACTCTCCTCCAGAGCTGCTAATGATTGTCCCTCAGAGGTCAAAACAAGGCAAGAAAATCCTACTTGATTCCTTAGTGCACGAGTGATAGATATGACTGTTCAGAACACATTGCTTTTGATTTCTCATTCACAGCTTGCCAGCATCTCCCACATCTAAGGGGATTTAAGAATACACCATGAAGATCTACAACCTACTCTTTTGTTGGTTTTGCATGCGAGTGCTGAAGCATTTCCAAACTATATGGGCATTAGGAGACAGTCTGGGATAGTAAGGATTTCAGAGTAAGGCTTTGTGCAGTGGCAGAGAGGAAAATAAATGCATCTATTACACAGCTATTGTAAGCGTTCTCTCTTTGTCAACTGAAAGGCAATACCCCATCAAAATATTCTTATACCAGACAGCCAGATTACAGCCCAGATGGATGAGCTGGGTGAGGATGGAAACTGTCCTAGCTGCTTCATCACCACTCACTGACTACAAACTGCTTTGCCAGCTCCTCCAAGGCTTTGCCAGGAGACAGCAAAGCAGAGTTCTGCTCTCTGGCTCAGCAGGGTTAGCTCAAACTGACCTTGACTGGTGAGGTGTTTTAGGCAGATCACTGCCTATAGCAAAATACTAGGGAAATGTTTAAAACACAAGTATTTGATCTTTGCTTAAAGCTCTTTAAAAGAATCTGTGTAGCATCCCCAAGTAATGCTGCAACCCCTGGAAACAGGCTGAGATTTCTCCTGAGGTTTGAAAAGTGTCTTGTCTTATGCCAAACATTTGACAGTCATTTGCTAAGACTGTTTACAACCATTCCATTTTTGCAGGCTGCTGCATCTTCTGTCTCCTCCTCAATCTCTTTGGATTAAAATGACAGTAAGAGAAAATTATTATTACTCACCTGCTTTTGAAAATGTATCTGTGGCCAAGTTTCTGCATTGAAGTTGTAACCATGTACAAGCAAGTAATATATGAAATTGGCTGAGAAACAGTAGGATCTGGCATATATTTCTTCAAATTTAGGCAGCATAAACTGGAGCTGAAAGCAAAAGGGTTTTCTTTAAAAAACATGTTAATTATGGAAAAAGCAAATGCTTTGGGGTTTTGTAACTAGAGAATATTTGGGTTCTAATTAGAAGTTATTAACATATTTCAGAAATACCAAGTAAAGGTGTAGGCAGCTACATACAGGGATTGAGAAAAAGAAAGACTCTAAAAGTGAAACAGCTTATGTATTAAGCAATGAAAATAAACATAAAACTGTACATTGAAGATAGAGGATGTTATGGTTTCTAAAATTTACATGTCATCTCTATAGCATGGTTAGAACTACAAAATGAAATTTTCAAACCTATTCCAAGTGTTAAGCATGACAGAAATACTACGTGGTTTGAAGCACTGTGGAAAAACAAATGCTAGGTTGATACAGACCCTCTGAAAGATTCTGAACACATAGCCAGTCCATATTATTTTTATATCCCTCTTTTAGAGGTTTAAAATGGAAAAGAAAAATCCCAGCAACACCAAAAAACAACCAACCAACCACCCACTTACCTGTGACCAGCTCTGTGAACAGAAAAACCACATACTTGAATTGAAGTCATCCAGAGAAAAGTGCCCAGATAAATTCAAAGCATTAATTGTATAGTAGAATCCAGAGAAAGCCTATAGAAAAGGAATGGATGACAGGTTACTTTCAGAACTACAGAAATCAAAAGCAAACAAGCTCAAGAAGAAACACACCGTGTTTGCAAACCTACCACAAAATTCCCTTTAGCTCTTGGCTGATGTATTCCATTAAATGAACAGTCCTCTCTGTCTCTGCAAGCAGTGAAGTTAAACAATAAAGAAACCATCTCCTGGCACAGACCTGGGTCTCCTGTTCCATGGAAATTCACAAGCTGGTTTGGGTAGTAATTTGCTGGTCTCAGAGACTGTGTACAAAGGCTGCCAAAGAAGTACTTCATCTCTAATGCTGTGTTATAGTTTTGAGGGTAACAGGGATTATCCACATTGGCACTGGTGTTTGATTTCTGGGGGGAAAAAGAATAAAAAAAAAAAATACAAGAAATCCCAAACAATAAATATTAGTCAAAAGCAAAAAGGACCTAATTTGGCATGAACTACAGGAATCTTTTTAAACTGCAGATGCATGTATTTTTGTTCACTGACATGACTGGTCAGCACAACACTGCTGATCACTATAATTCATAGAAACTCCTTTCTCCAGAAGTCATTGGCAAGAACGGAAAAATATTTACAAGGCCTTTTTGTCAAATGGCAAAGAACTCTCACTAATTTTTAACAACTATGAAGTTTTTTGTATGAAACCTAAGTGTGTTTGGCCACAGCAAAGCAAAACTGAGCTCTTACTGAGGTCTCCAGACTCCAGCAAAGGGAAGAGAACACAAGCCTAAGACCCTGCTCAGACAATTACTGAACACTTGCAAGAGCAACATAGCAAAGGGTCTTAAACAGACCTGGAACAGCAATGCTAAAAGCCTTTTCTCAGCTTCATCTCTCCCATAGCACTGGTAGCTGTGAGTGTAGACATTGTAGTTGTAACCATATAACTTCACTTGCAAGGTGCTATTGAAGTGCTTCTCAGGGTCCTCAGGGATAAATGAAATTTGAGTGGAAGCTCCTCCAAGGTCCAATGCACCCATAGTCTCTTTTCTGTAAGGATGGACCCATGTCCTCCAAAGGTTTCTCTACATGTAAAATTAAAAGCAAGGCAAATTAGAAATATCACCTGCTTGTTCTCCCCTCAAGCTTTTCTACTCTTTACTTCTTGAAACTTCCCCCCCCCCCATTATTTGTCCTTCACTCTTTCAAAAAAAAAAAAAAAGTAACTATGAGGAAAACAGGCATTATGTTTTTACATAAGAGGGTGTACTTTCAGAGAGTGAAATGATCCTGAAAGATGGGAAAACTAATGCAGCATAGTGTTCAACTCAGTAGGACAGCACAATGATTAAAGCACAGGACTAACCAGAGCAATGTCTATCCTAGAACGTAGGGAATTGAAGTTCAGATACCCATGAGAACTTGAACAAATCTGAATGGAAATGGTATCAAGATTTTCTTGTTTCAAGGCAAGAAGTATTAAAGGAATAGAATACCAAGAGATCACAGAGACAGAGAGTGAAAATAGAGTGAAAAATGCAAAAAAGTCAGATGAAAGCTCCATCAAAGTCAAAAGAGCAAGGGCCCTTAATCTGTACATTTCCTCCACTGAAACTGCAGTCTGATCCATTCAGATGGCACTTTTCCCTATTACCCAAAATATTCCCCAGATTTTGTATTTGATCCAAATAGTCACAGTGCCAAATGTAGATTTTCTATGATTATCTATGTCAATATTTATCCAGTGAGCATGATGAGATGAATGTATACACAAGAAGGGAAACTATGGGGTTTATGGGCCAGCAAATATACTCAAAATAAAATTCTACAGTGAAAAATTCCCATAAACAATTCCTCACAGAATTTGACTCTTAGCCCATTGTCACAAGAAAGGTCAGAATTTCTCTCTTCTACTAGTGATATTCCACATGTATTTCTTCACAGAACTCTCTAGACTAAACTGGTTTCACAACGTCTTGCAGTCCATTTTTATGAATTTGCCATATGGAATTTGATATTTGGATTATTAAAATTCACATGGTAGAAGACTGGCACCACCTTGAAGTTCATAATGCCATTTTTGCTGCATGAAATGCACACAATGAGAAAAACTCCTACAGAACAGGTGTTTCCAAAACTTGTTTTTTTAATATTGCAAGTCAACAGCACGTTCAACATGAGCTATCAGTCACAGCTCCAACAAGTAATTCCTTCTTATTTAATGGCCATGATCTGATAGGAACCATTCAGTCAGGACAGCTTGCAATATTCAGCAGTACTGGCTGAAGTTCATTTTAGCCTAGTAAGGCAAATCTGGCAGAAGTGCTGTCGATGGTGAGGGAAGCACACTCCTGTCACGAATGCAGATGAGTGGTTGCAGGTCATCTTGGTACAGCTTTTACTCTGAATGAAATCACACTGAATACCTGTATCTAAAAAGGGATTTTCCAATGCATCTGGCTCCCTATTCCAAGTTTGAGAACAGCATGAGTGTGTTTATATTGGTATCGCTTGGTCTGCACAAGACAGTTGGTGTTGTAGCCTGCAGCTTTTCAGCACTCCTGGAATGAGCTGTGTATGAATGATTTCTGGCTCAGCTGAGGCATATTGGGCCACCTTCAGTGCTTCAAACAGTCTTGTCTGCTTAAGACAAGCGAGCCAACACTGCCAAACAATTTGCAGACCCCTAAGCCAGGTAGGTCCTTCACCAGTAGGGCGGCAGGGACAGCAAATAATAAGAAGAAAAGATCTTTAGTTGGCAAGACAATCAACACCTGTCACACTTAATATACCAATGCATTTAAGAGTCATCTAACTTTTTGGTTTTAGGTAAGGCACCCAATGTCATTCAGAGAAGAGTTAATTTTTGTGGATCAACAATTTTACCTTTGCCATATCCCATTCCCATAACAACATATTCTTTGATTTATGTTTGTCCTATTACTGCCACAAAAAGACCCTGATAGAGACTTCAGGGGAAAACAGAAGTTGCAACTATGACGCTTTAACAGGCATGTCCTCTCAAACTTCTCATTTATAAGAGAGAAACAGTGAAAAGAAAATCATGCAGTTTTTTCCACACACCTCTAAGAAATTGCCCATTAAATAGTTGGCCGTTATCCATCCATACACCCCTTCCTCTGGCCCAGTTATGATCTGCGCACCCCTAAATTCAAAAGGTTGTGATCTGAAGTAGTTTTGAATGCTTGCAAGGACTTCATTGGCTGCCGATTCATTTTGCAACCTGAAGCAATTCACAAAACATGAGACACTGAGCATCTGGAAAGGCAATTTCATGTTTATTGTTCACTGACTAGCAATTCAAGAAAACTGCTACAATCACCAAATAAATGAAATAGACATTATTTCCCCAAAGGGGAAGCTTATGATAGGGAATAGCCAGTATCCAGCATTATTTCAGCAAGCAACTCCCTCAGTATGTACTGACTTCACTCTTTATCATGCAGCTTCATGGGTGGGATTTTTTCTCCTTATATACCCCTTTATTCGTAATGAACTGAGTGTTTATATGACAGTTTCTGGTTAAAACAGTCCTGGAATCTCTCTTCCAGCTCTGTTTAGCCACAGAACAAATATAATAAAGCAAATTTGTGCCAAGGCTAAAGCCACAGACAGACCCCAAAAGCTACATCACATCAGATCCCATCCACACTCAGAATGCAGTGTCTAGCTTCAATCTGCCTTTGCTGCCCATGGACATGCACAAACATTATCTGTCTACATAGCACTGTATTTTGTGACAAATATGAAAGAGAAAATCAAACTCTTGCCTTCTCCAAAATAAAGCAAGTTTCTTTTCAATACAGCGTAACAGAGGAAAGACATGCTTTCCCTATCAAAGAAGTTAATTAAATTAAGTTGGCTGGGCTCCATTTCCTTTTGAGATGGCCAATTTCCAGTGGGTAAAAATGCATCCAGTGCATTTTTCACATTCTTTTTCCACAGACTGCTATGCTAGTATGCATACAGAGTAGCTCAAATCCGTGCCATACCTCAGCAGTCTCATGCCAGCTGTAGCACCCAGATAAACAGAAGTGTTTTTATGCAGATGAACTGGTATTCTCTCCTTGACTTTATTCAGACAGTCATCAAGAGGCTCGGCAAGAGCTCCAGGGCTACTCTCATAGCTGGATATACCAGGGCCTAAAAGAGAATGAGGAGATAGATAGCATCCTGCTTTGCCAACTACAAATTATCCCAATTAGCAAACAGGTGTTAAGAGAAAGACATTTCCCCCTTCCCCCCCTCCCCATAACTGCAAACAAGGGTAGGATGGCTGAAAACTAGGAGTGCTTATGGAACAAACAATGTGGTGCCTGTGCATTTCAAGAGGCACAGAAATGGCTCTTGAATTTGTAGAGGTACAGGTCTGCTCTGGTGCATGAACTAGTAAACAGCTTTCCAAATTTCCAAAGCCTTCAAAGAGCAGAAAGGAGAGTTACACCTTGCTGCATAAGGCATAGCTATTTGAACAATTAACATCAGAGTCCTGCCTTGCTCAATACTCCAAGGACCATCAGGCTCTCAACAGGCTCAATTTGTGTGTAAATAAAACATTCCTTACTAACATTCCCAAGCTGGGGAAGTCGCATGGGGAGCAGTCCAGGCACTCCCATGAAGCAACTGGCCTGCAGAGAACAACTGCCAGAACTCCATTTACCTCTGTAGCAGCCATGTCTTGCACAGCCTCGTCCCAAGCTAAACAAAAGGTGGTTCTTACCAAGTCAAAATGAGAAACTATTTATGTTCAATCACATTGCATTGATAGAAACAGGAGAAAAAAAAATATGCAAGCCTTTACAGATTCCACACTCCAAAGCTCCTTTTTTGGCTGTATGAATTGAAACTTAAAACATTACCGTGTCATCATTAGATTTTCACAGCCCTGGTTTTGAATTAAGACTTGCTGAAAGTCTTAAGTCTAGCACAAACAGGCCTGAAGCTGAAAGGAAAGCTGCTACCAGAGGAAAACAGAGCAGCAACATCCTCAGCAGCTGCCATTGCCTTACATCCCTTTGGTGGTTGCAGCCTCCCCTCCTCCAGTTTTCAGGCAGAGCGGGTCACAAGGCAATGACCATTTTCTTCTGGACAGCTGCCTGTCTTGCCAGTGCTTAGAGTCTTACCAGGACAGATTAAATGCACTATAAAGAAAGGATTTGGATTTGGGACTGGTTCCTACATACAAGGGCAGAGGTACTTAATAAAGGCAAAAATGAAATCATAAAACCACCACAGAATTCACAGAGTAGTTGACCATTTGGCCTTCAAGTTCAGTAGGTATGCAAAAATCTGCCCCTCATTATGGCCCAGAACCACACCCCAATTTAAATGCTTAAGACTATGGTTAGAGGGTCACTAAAGAAACACTGACAGATGTGTTCACCACTGTCACCTACAGCTTAGCTGGGGACATCTCCCATCAACCAGCCCTCTGTCTCCTGCAGTGCAGAGTTATCCAAGACTAGAAGAGTGTACCCTGTTGATCTGGTACACTTAGGGATGAGGAGTACTTGGCTGACCATGGCTACCTGGCCATCTGTCTTCACAAAATGTGTGGCATCTTCATAACTCTGACAGCTGAGTGAGATGTCACTGAATTGACTGAGAGTTTCTATGAAGGAATCCACAACCACCTAACCATACTGGAGTGTGATCAGAAGTCAGCCTAGTCTGTCTGTGAGGAATCAATTCAAAACCTCAGACAGGAGACAGGGCAGGTAGCCAGTGGTACCTGTGGGACGTCATCTAGCTGTGTACAGACACAGGTCTTCCTGAGACAGAGGCCACACCTACATGTTTGGTAAAACTGTGGCACCCTGTCAGAAACAGTTCTACCAATTTAGCTATTTCACTCAATAATTTTATTAACTACTTCCTAATTCTGTAGTATAGAGAAGCTTAATTAACAACTAACATCTAACAAGAGCTGGATTCCCATTCTTCTAAACCTTTTTATTCCAAGCTATTTTAAAATATATATAAGACTTTTATTCTGAAAGAAACACAAGGTCTGAACATTTACAGGTCCCGATTCTCTTTAGATTGAATTCTGTCTGCACCAATCATGCACTGCCATGGAACAAATCAAATTTTGCTACAATTTCTTTTCTCTGGTGCAATGATTAGAGCATCTTACTGTATCAGAAGGAACAGAACTAATGCTGACAAATACAGACATAGTCTTGACAGTCTTCCCTCTGCAGCCCTGAAAAGGGAAGGGAAGGGGAAGGGGAAGAAACACTACAAGCAAGGCTAAAACAACTAAGGAACTTTCCTTTGAGCTCACCTTTCACATTGCACTTGAAGGTTTGGCTCACTACTCCCGTGTTGTTTTCTTTTTCCGCTGGCCACTCATAGACATAGACTGTAGTCCGAGAGGATCCAGCATCAAGGACTATTCCATACTGGGGATTAAGAAAGAATACATTAGATGAAGAAACAAACAATGACAGCTTAAATGCCCATATGCAGCTGCACTTCACTGCACCACCAGACATTTAGAAAATGCATGCACAGTGTATTATTTAAAAGAGAGATTAATTTGAGTGTTAGGCGCTTAGGCATGAATCCAACAGCCAAGCACAGAATTAATCTGGCTGCAAACCAAGGAACATGCTACACATCTTCAATAATTAATTCAGTGGGGATGGAGAATGCTCATCTCCTTTCAGCATCAGGTTCAAAATCCACACTGACAAATAGATAACACTGTGTTAGGACCTGATTTTGGAGCAAGTTCATTTCCCTTTATCCCAGTCCATTCCCTGAACACTGAAGGGTTTGATATCTAAGCACAGGCTTTAGATTCAAGGATGCACAAGGGATCCATAAAGCTATAAGCAGAGAGGTAAAGTACCTAACAGTCGACAGTAAGAATGATGTAACAAGTCTGGTTCTTTCCTAATTGCCCCATAAACCTCTCCCTTTGAGTGTTTAGTCCACCTGAGAGTTTGCCTCTGAGAACAGGTTGTGCCAGAGTATGAGAAAACACAGAGGGAAAGAGAACCAATATTACCCCATGATTATTTATAAAATAAATGGGAAATATTTAAATTACTTGTCCCAGGTCCCTTGGACTCTGGGATTAAAGCACGGGTTTCTCCATCCCACCCCACTGCTCACCAGACAAGTCTTTCCCCCTTTCCCATATTTTATAGCAGAAGAAAACTGTAGTAACTGGGAAGACAATCTCATAAAGGGAAGCAAAATGCAATTTTGGTATCCTCTTTATGATCCTGAAAGTATGTTTAGCTCTTCCAAAGTCACCTAATTGATAGCAATCACACAGTGTAAGGCTCATTTTTCAGTCAGCTTTTTTCTTTTGAAACAGACAGATGCCCAGGAGCCTGAAAATACTGAAAAATGAGAGCCTCCATCTGTCTGCAAAGCAGTAAGAGCCCCTGTAGCAGGCTGATAAATTTCATCCCACTGCCTCCCTTGGGGACCAACAAGTCCGACTGGGAAGGATCACTGCTTCAGGTGGCAAATCATTCAGCTTCCACACCTGATTATTCCTGGCTTCTACTGGAACCCTAAAAACCCCTGGCCCCCAAAGAAAACCAGCAATGCCAGTCTAGTCTGTTTCATAGAGGACTGTTAGATAATGAAAATTTCATTTATATTTATACAGACAATATTTACCATCATCCACTAAAAGATTAAAGGCTCCACAGATACCATCAAACCACTACATCATCAGGTTCTGTTTCAGTAACTACTTTTAGCAAAGATAATTTGAGTGTATTTCCTCTCCTTGGAAGAGATGAGCACCCTGGAGGTACATAACATAGTAATGGTCAATCTGCTTAAGGACTACTAATGAAATATAGTCTCAGTCAGCTTAAAGTGCCAAATATAAGCTTTTAACTTGGCTACTTTTAGAGCTAACTACCAGGCCCAAGGAGAGCTGGAAGATAATGGAAGTATTTTTACCTCAGTTAACTATGGACTTTTTTGAGCTACTTCCTCCTCCCCCTGCATTTCCCAGCCTCCTTCTGTAAGTAAGAGATTTCCATCCCAAAAGAGCAGTCTTTCAGATTCTTATCTGAATCAACGCATGACTGACAAGTTGTTTTTTTTCCTTTCTTCCCCTCCTCCTCCTCTATGTTTCCTATACAGCCTCTTCCTACCTTAAAATAGATGCTCGTTTTTTGAAAAGGTCTCTTGGGCCCATTTCAGGGTGACTCATGAAGGTGCTCAGGACTTGTGTGAGTTCACTGTGTGCAAACTAGCCCATGCAGCCTCAAAAAACGGTGATCAGTGACAACTGTGTCACATGCTAGGACCAAGATTAATCTTAAAAAACTAAAAAGCCAGAAATGACACAGGATGCTGCATCTTAAGAAGGTGAAAAAATTCTACAAGCCTTGTCTTGCCAAAGACAAACTGGCTGGATTAAAATTTTCGGGGAATGTTAGATTTCTGTCCAAGTTGCATATTGGATCAACTTTGGCTGCCCTTTAAAGATAAGCAATGCCTTCCTGCTTTGAAATGCACTGTGGGAGCACAGGCAAACCCTTATCCCAGGCTAGCAGCCATTAAAGACCAGAACTACTTTTTCTCCCCTCTTTCCTTTCTACTTCAGCTGACTCACTGAGTATTTCAATCAGCTCAAAGGCCTGGTCAATCCCTAATATCCAAGAGCTGCACCACCTACTCAATGGACTAGATTAGTCAGACAAGACAGGGAGACAACATTGACCCAGAAAAGCTTCAGGGTTCTGTTTTCTAGTCCAGAAGGAAAAAAAAAAAAAAAAAAAAAGAAAAGGGGGGGGGGAAACAAAGTGACTCAAAAGAAAATGCTTATTATGGGAATATGGCTTTGTAGGCACATCCTGAAGAGTAGTAATCCCAAGAGATAAGCAAGCACAAGCCCCAGGATCAATCACCTTTTCAGCCTGAGTATCATTCCGATAGGAGGATGTAGAGATACACAAACCCTTAAAGCAGGCACATTTATGATGGGCCACCTGCCTTCCAATCACTTGGGAAACTGCCAAGAGAAGCTAACAAGCTAAACCAGTTACAGGGAAGATGGAGGTCACAAAAGTGGATCTGTGCTAGATGCAGGCTTCAATTCAGCTACATAGGTTTGAACAAGTTTTAATCAAGTACAACATCCACAAACAATGCAGAACACTTCCTAAGAGCCAAAAGAGACATGAAAAATTTAGGTATTGAAAACTGTAGCACCTCAAGGAACAAATTAAAGAAATACAATAATGAAGTGGGTTTTTTTTTTCTCTAGGGCTCACAAAATAGCAATAGACAAACAGATTTTTTTTTTTTTGACTGCTACAAAGGCTTACTACATTCAGTGCTGTTATCATTTATAATTGCAGACTTCTCCACTGAGGATGTTTGTGTTTTCTTCATCACTCTTCTCACTTCATGGTGTGTAGAGCCAGTGAGTCATGTGTTCTTTCAGTGCCATAGCCTCATGCAATGGGCAGGTCCTTCCTTCATGAATCACTGGCTCAGTCTTCAGATAATCCAACCATCAAGGATCCAAAATACTCAACTTTGCAACAACAGTTTAAAACACCAAGGGCATAGCATATAATTTATCTCTTGTGCCACAATGGATGCTCTCAACATGCATCTTGGGAAACAGCTTTTATGCCACAGGTAACACAAACAGTAATAACAGAAGAACAAGGCCATTTGCAAAAAATAAATCTCCTTTCATCATGTTGTTGCCATAATCAATTTTAATCAACCATTGAGTTCAGGACTCTGTCATTTCCAGGCTCCATCATATCAGCCAGGTACTGGAGGTTTTCACTGGCATACCAAGGTCCTCCTTTTCTACCTGTGAATTTCTTGTGAATGTAAATTACTCACTGAGAACGACTCGGTGTCTCAGGAATCAAACTCAGGGTCCTCCATATCGCTAGCATGAGCAGGCTTACAGCCCAAATTCAAATCCAAAGCTAAAGCACACCCAGTAGAGGAAACACCAGCCATCCTAGAGAAGAAGCTGTGAAGCTGCTGTGGTTCAGTAAGCGAACCTCACAACTTAAACCAGCTCCAGATAGTCCAGGTGGTTCCAATGCTTCTTCAAAGAGTAAGGTGAACAGTTTTATCATTCTGAATGTGAAACTGAATTAATGACAGACACCAGAGGTGTGTAGGCTGTCTTTTAGATAGTGAGTTCAGCCTTCTCCTGGCTTCAGCTGGGATGCATGTCAGTCCAGGCTTGCCTTGCATGAAAACTGGTGGGATATGAGGCTGCTGAAAGCAACCATTTGGGGCTCAACAGATCACATACTTGAGGCACTGTGGCCCCATGAATGATCCCAGCACACACCCCCTACCACACCACACAAATACATAAAACACATGTATCAGAATTACAGGTTTATCCCATTGTCTGGCTCACACAACAGCAAATGATTCAGACAAAGCTGAAGGTGTTTATAATCCCATGAAGTGCAACAAGGCAATAGCCTATCGTTACCAGTATGTGAACTATCCAGTTAAACACACATGCAGATGGAAAGGTACAAGGGACTTCAAAGAAAAATCTGACAAGAGGACCATGGGAAGAAGAACAGAATTCTACATGCCAGGCTGCACAGCTTCTTAGGAGGGTATTTTCTACAGCTTTTCCTCAGTTGTGTACATCTCTCATTGAAGAACCTGCACACATGTTCCACAGCAGAAGGCAAAGCCTGATCTTCAGAGTATTTCAGTTTGTCTTTTGCAGCTTGCTCTGCCCCCCTTAATGAAGTTTGTTTGCTTCTGTTAATATCCAGCAAGTCCCAACACGTTGTAAAGGATCAAGTGCATACTTAGAGCTCAAATGCTTTTGATGCACGGGAGCAATTTGCAAACATGTCAGCATAAACTCCCCAGCTGTGCTTGGGGGTAGAATTTAAACTCTGGGTATTTCCCACTTCAAAATCATTTTAAAATTACTTCCAATCTCTGGCAAAACTAAAGGGGAATAAAAAAAAGAAAAAGGAGTGAGATATTCTCCAGCTTTGGCCTTTCAGTCCTGAAGACATTGCGCGATAGCCACCACAGAGAGGGGATCAAGAAATGTTTTTCCTGCTTTGCCACTGACTCTTGACCAATTCTCTTTTTCTCTCAGCTTCAGTGTTCCCACGATGATATGATTAAACATTAATTTATGGCTGTAAGCTCATTTGAATCACCCCATAAAAATGACTTATTATTAAACATCAGTTCAAAACACCGTTCTCCTTCCTGAGGTATCCTATGACTTACCTTAAGCCCTGGGGAGAGGACCTGTTGCTGATTTATCTGAATCACTGCAATAGCAATAACAAGAACTATGCTTAGAAGAAGGAACACTTGGGCAACAACACTCGGGGTTCTGGTGAGCATCCTGAAACGACAAAACAGGAAACACTTAGGGAATCTGAGAGGATTTGGCGATTCTGTCTTAAAGCCTGAAGCCCTGAATCAGTTGAAACTCATAAAATCTAATTTAATCAACTGGATTACTTAGTGGAAATTCCATCTTCTCCTGAAGAACTGCCTGTTGTTTTGCAACCACTAACTTTTCATTGTCTGGAAGGGCTGTGTCTGTGTTGTCACGCTAACGATGCCAGATTTCACCTTCAGCCTGCCCATTTTCCACATGCAGGTGCCTGCTCCCCACCTCCCATGCCTGAGGAAAGCGGCTGTGGGCAGGCAGGTCGGGGCTGCTGCTCACCCAGCGCTCCCCTGTGCTCCTGCAACACAGACCCAGACACCTGAGGGAGGCTGCTCCACTGAATGCAGCTGAATCTTTCTGCCAGACATGCAAGCTCGGTGTCTACAAGAGATACAGGCTTCTTCAGCAAGAAAAAAAAAATAAAAGAGGAGGTTTTAGGAATATTAAAGTAGGCGTCTTTCCACTAACTGCTGATGAAATATGTGTGTGTGTATTCCTATTATTACCACTCTGTACTGCACATAAAAATAAACACTTTAACTCAGTCATTTTGCAATGAAAAGTTACTAAATCTAAGTAAATCTAACATGGTTATATTTGACAAACCCCAAGGTGGCATGAAACACGCATACTAACAATAAGGCTACTTATATGTTCATATCCTCTAGAAAAGTTTCCTAGAATTCAAATGTGGTTTAGGTTTACTGGAGCTTCTGCTCATCCTTTTCCATGTCCCTGACCAGACACCTCTTAACCCCAAGGGACCATTTAGTACCTCTGAATACTGACAATCCACATATCAAAAATCCTTATGCTCCCCAGCGGTTGAGGAGGAAAGAGGCAGCTGGAGGGATATGGCAAGCTTAGAAGTATCAGAGGAATGCAACAAGGACAATTTGCCTGCCTTTTATATTTCAGGAACCATTTGTTTTGGCAAAGAAAAATCAATGCAGCCTGGCGTGATCTATCCTGAGTCACATCTCCTAATTCTTCCATACTGATTGTTGAACACACCAGTGGCTGCTCAGGACTGTCCTGCTATTTCAGCAAACGCCAGTGCCAACCTCAGCTGAGGACAGGAGCTTAAAGGTGGTCTCCAGTCCATGGCCAGAGCACACTGGGTCAGCCCCACTGTACCTGCAACACTGGTCATGTCCTTAGCTCCAACCAGAGCCCGAGGGCTGAGGGAGAAAGCAGAATAAATGCTTCTCACACAACTTCCCTTTTCTACACCCCATGGGCTCTTCAGCCTGGGTACCCATGGTCCAACATCTATGTTCACATTCAAAAGAGAAGAAAAAATTTTGTTTTGTTCTGGAATTAGCTTCACACTGAGCTTTGCCTACAGCTACTACTTTCCTTCTTTGTCTTGCTATTTCTGTTGTGAAAACTATCTCAGATTGACTCTTGGAAACTCTTTTGACACATTTTCTACACTTCCAAAACATAATTTTTTCTATTCATTAACTCTCTTTTCTAAATCCATATGGGCTCCTTGCTTACTGCCTATCTACTCTTCCAATACTTACTTTATTGGTTTGGTAATAGCTTTATCATCTTAATAATCGGTCAGTTTAAAGAGAAAATTACCAGCCACTTCATCTTCTTTTCATTGCTTTACTATCCTGAGGCACTGAAACATCATGTACATAGTGCACAAATGATAAAATGAAATTTTTATTTTACTATTAAAAAATATGTTAACACCTATACTGTAGCCTGCAGATAATGTCAGGACATAGTAATTAGAAGTATTTGTACAGATCAATTCAGCAGATTCTTAACTACACATCTATGAATAACCATCTGCATAAAATACTTTAGGGGGACAAAGAGTAATTTTCTTTAGCTTTAAATTGTACATGGACATATCTATATAATGTTATAAAGTGACTGAAAGAGAACTATCTGCTCACAACCTAATATATACCAGTCACTCCTGGATCAAAGCACTGATGTTCAGTGCTGGAAAAAAAACAAGTCAACATCAAAGAAAAAACATGCAGGACAAATGACTCTGAAAAAACAAAGCATTATTAAAAAACATATTAGACTCTTAACACTTAAGGTTTGAACGGTTAAATATTTTCTGCTCCCATTTCTGGAAAATTGAAATCTTGGTTTGTTGAATTTCCTGTGTCCCTGATGCTGGGATTTGTCTTCATCAGAGGTGATTTTTGTCTTTTCAAAAGTCTTTTTGGAGAGGGAGCATGTAAAACAAGGGCAGATCTCTTAAGACATTCCTCATACAATCTTGTCCCATCAGCAATCAGGACAATTTCATCAGAGATAATCTGCAAATCCTGATTTACACAATAGCCTCTGTATCAAAGGGGTACCTTACACTCTGTGACCCCTTGAAGCCATCACACAGCTGCCACCTTTGCTGTCTTGCCACATAACTGGATCAGAAGCACAGGGCTGTGTTCACCTATGGCTACACTCAGATACACTCAGTCTCACACACCAGGCAATACAGTCACATTTGCCCATTCAGTGGAATCTGTAGAGATATCAGAGAGGAGTTCATTTATTCCACAGTTTAAACAGAGTTGTAAGGTAAGGAACTCTTGCTATCATTGTGCACTTGTTGGCAAAAAGACAAATAAAAGGTGTTAACTGAGTATCAAAACCCAGCTGCATTGCAAGAAACAGCATAAATACATATCTTTGCACACCCAGTTAATTACACTGGGCCACATGCAAGCACACTGGAAGGATTACTTTCTTCATCTTAACTGCAAGCAAAAAGAATTCTTGCCTGCAAAGGAAAACAGTCTCAACTTCTTTATGCCACCAACATTTTAACTAAGTTAAGTGCACACCAGTACAAATGACTGTGCTGAAATTCCTTTTCCCAAGAAACCTGAAACACCAAACCCACTTCTTTTAGGTACTGACCTGTTTGTTCATAGGGTGGGTAAGCATGCACCTTTCTTTACACTGTAACCTGAGAGATACAAACACCATTGCCATTTATTTCACACGAGGTCGACAGGTGAATGTTTTAAGTGCTGTGGGAAAAACAAACAAACAAAAACCCAAACAGACAAACAAACAAAAAACCCCACAAAACAAATCCCATAGCACTAAAACGCCAACATCCACAACACTTTAAACCCCATGATGAAAACCTGCAAGGAGTTTTCACACGCCTCCATCGGAGGAGAAATTAAGTAAAAACAAGCACATGCACACCAAATTGCGGGTGAAGCTTTCCCTCAGTTCACCGCCGTCCCGGATAAGAAAGCTTCACACCATGATTATGATTTGCGAGAAAACACCAAATTATCCAACCAAAATAATTCTTTTCGTCGGAGAGACAGAGCGACAGCCCCACCGCGTAGGCCGGGGCAGCAGCCTCCCACCTCCGCACCTCAGCCGGCCCCGGCCCGGGGATCCCGGCTCCCACCACATCCCAAGGTACCTCCACAGCCGGGCTTGTCCGCCCGCTCCCGGGATGAGGAGAGGCTCAGCCGGGAGCCGGCTGCACCCTCGGAGCGGCTGCGAGCGCCTCTCCCCCGGGGGGATGTGTGGAGAGTCACCGGGTTGGTGCCCGCCCTCTGCGCCTGTATTTCCGAATAGACGGAAAACAAACGAACGAAAAAAAAAAAAATCAAAACAAAAAATAAACCCCAACGTGCAGGTCAAAAAGAAAAAAAAAAATAAAATTAATAAATAAATAAATCCAGATGAACTGAATGATGTGGAGGGAAGAGATCTGCGGCGAGTGCGAGCACCCGAGGCGCCACGGCAGCGGGGGATGCTGTGCCCGGACGGGGATGCTGTGCCCGGAGGGGGATGCTGTGCCCGGACGGGGATGCTGTGCCTGGAGGGGGATGCTCCGGGGAGCGGGGCTGGGAGGACAGCGGGTTTCTGCCGCAGAACCCCCGCGGCACGGCCGTGCCTCCCTCCCTGCCCCTCCTCCGGCGGCTCCCCGCTTTCCGGAAACTCCGCTCGGGATTTGACAGCAGCTGGTGCGGCAGGGTGTTGCTGGCCGCCCCTAAATCACGTTCCTCTGTTCCCTCCCAAAGCGAGGGCAGGAGGGGGTTTGTCTAGAGGTGGGTGAAAGAATCCTTGCGTCTTCTAAAAGGAACAGGTGCTTTCTCAGGGAGGCATTTCTCAGACCCCAGAAATCAGCAGTCCCTCCACTCTTGGGGCTACCTTTCCATCCAGGTTTTTGCGTACAGGCACCACTTACTTTGTAATTTTACTGGAGTTATTGCCAAACATAGGCTGCGCAGTGGACCTAGCATATTCCCAGAAGCAGCGTGACAGATCCTGCCCTGTCCAACCTGTGTGATCAACTACAGCCAGGGATTATCCTACAGTCTGAAGGATGGGTTTGCCAGGGACACGAGCTCTGGAACCACAGTGAGACACTTCAGATTCTTTGCCACCATTTGCTCATTGTTCTTGGATTCAGAGTGGCATAATGTAAAAACCCAAATGCACCTCCTTGATTCTTTTTCTCACAAAGATCTTGAAGAGTTACAGCATTTTTGATTTTTGAATGAAGGAGAACAAGAAACCAGCTGCAGCCTTGTGAACCATCTGTAAGCATCTTTTCATAATCTACTCATTTTGGGAGTGGAGGCAATTTTCTCTTTTTGATGACAACACATTATTAAAATTGATTTAATGATGATCTTGGGAGATCAGTTCAGTTATTTCTAGCACATGAAGACAAAGCCTCCCATCCCTCCTGATTGCCTGTCTGTTGCATGTAATTAATTTCTTTTGTATTATTTCCATTCACATGGCACATTTTTCTTCTCCCATCCAAATGTATTTAAGGCCCTTGGTCCAAATGACTGCATTGCTCAGTCACCTGAATCTGCTCAGGTGTCCATTTAAAATGACAAGTGAGCTGCATTGCTAACCCCACAGAAAAGCTTATTATTTTTTATATAATCAAACATGAACATTTTGAAATAGAAGGTAAAAT